GGTGACGGCCTGCCTCCTGGTTCCTACGTGGCCGTGGGGGCAGGGGCGAGGCAGCTCTCTGCGCCTCTTTCATAAGGGCACTAATTCCATTCACGGGGCTCATCTTCATGACCTAACCACCTCCCAAAGGCCTCACTTCCAAGCACCAGCTCATTGCAGGTTAGGATTTTACCTATCAATTGTGAGGGGACACAAATATTCTGCCTATAATAGCGAGCAGCGCCCATGAACGACGACTTCAGCCGCCAGAAGTGGAGGCTGAGTGTAGAGCGCTGCCCCGTAGCCCGGCCAAGGAGTATCTGTCTCACACGGTGTAAGTAAGCACAGGCAGATTCAGCTAAAATCCTGTTCTGGTGAAATTGTCTAAATCAAAGAAGGGAGGCCAGATAAGGGCTGATCACATTCATATTTCGAGCACTTCTCAAAATGAGGGAAATACCAGTTCAACAAAGCAAACTGATCATCCCCTGGGAATTTAGAATAATGTAACTTAACCTTCATCTAAGAGAGAAACACGGTGTGTCTCCAGGAGACTTCCTCGAAACGGATCAGCCTGAACCATTCTCCACCACCGGCCCAGGTGGTAGGAAGGGAGCCTGGGGCTAGGAAGGAAAGACAAGTGTAGGATTATGAGTCTTACCCACTCTTTGTTTCAAGATTCCTCGAGTTTTATCCTAAAAGCTGATACTTTTTACATGTGCTTTTTAGAAACAGCAGGGCACTGATGCCAGGAAAAACAATGACATCAGCCCCAAACCCCAGGCGAGCCGCCTTCAGGAAGACCTCAAGGACATGAGGAGGCGACACGGCGGAGCTTGGAGAGAGCAGCACCTATTTCTGCTCTGTCCTGTCAGACAGGTCTAATTCCCAAACGCGCAGATCCCAAGGACTTCTGAAGGGACAGTGGCTACACCAGCAGTACACAGACTTTAGTGGGTGTTAAAGTCATCTAGGGGGCTGATTAAAAATCCATGTTGTTGAGCCCCACCCTTCAGAGAGGTTTTTTTTTTTATTTTTACTTATTAATTTTAGAGAGAAACATCAGTGTGTTGTTCTGCTTATTTATGCATGCATTGGTTGACTCTTGTATGTGTCCTGACCAGGGATTAACCTGCAACCTTGGCATATCTGGACAATGCTCTAATCCAGTGGTCCCCAACCTTTTTGGCACCAGGAACTGGTTTTTCCACAGGGTGGAGGGGACAGGAGGCAGAGCTCAGGTGGGGGGAGGGGCAGGGGTCAGGAGGTGGAGCCCACCACACCTCCTGGGGGAGGCGGGGCAGAGACAGGAAGTGGAATTCCGGGGAACTTTCCTAACGGCCCAATTGGATGCGTACTGGACCTCAGGCCCAGGGTTGGGGACACCTGCTCTAACCAACTGAGCTACCTGGCCAGGGCCAGAGAGTTTAATTTACTTATTCCAAGGTGGGTCCTGGGAATACACATTTTCATCAAGTACTTCAGGTGGTCCTGATAAAGGAGTTTCATACTTTGAGAAAAACCCTAAGTAAGTTATTATCTACTTTTATCTCTCCTTTCTAAAAGTCCCCAAAGCTATGTCTTCTGGGCCACAACTATGGCTGTATAATTCATGTGCTGCATAATAACCGCTCCCTGCTGAGGAGGCAAGTAGGAGCTGGGACCTGGGTGCTGGGCATGGAATTGTACCACCCAGAGTAATGAACACTCTTTCTTTGGGCAGAGGCAGCTCCAACTTGCAAGCCTTGTGCCCCAGTGTGGGGCTGTGTCAGCCCAGAGGGGGCCCTGTTTTCTGGTTTACACAAGACACTGTGTAGGCAGCAACAGCCCTGAAACTGCTGTCTGACACCTTGGACACCTCTTCCCCAGCCCCAGCAGCGAGCACCCTAAGCCAGTCACTGCTCTCAAAGGCAGCACCAGACCTGGGCTCGATGGCTCATGCATCATAGCTGCCCAACAGCTACCAGGCCTTTCCTATGCTAGTGGCAGGCTGGGAGGTAGGTAGGTCAGCTCCTCCCTCAGCAAGCCCAGCCAGCTTCTCTGTACGAATGAAGAGCGCACCCTTGCCTCACTGGGCCTCTTTCCTGGAAAGGCTCTGCCTCGCTGATTTTTTGTGCAGATGGCATATGTCTCCTGGGCGTGGTGATTATTTAACAGGACTGGTGGCTCCACGGGAACAGCTGTGCAAGTCTCCAGGTTAAGGGGCTTACTGAGGGGCCAGACTATTGGATGGGACTGCCCAAGTGACTGACTATATTTTTACAAATTCTCTTCTCTCCTCCTGTTCTCCCCAGCCTCTTCAATTTTATAAACTGGAAGAATACCTCGAGCGTGTGTTGGAGCAGACAAAGAGCCTGTCATTGAACCTGCTGTGACTCTCAGATGTGTCCTTGGTGAAGTGAAAGAGGACTCCCCTGAGCTGCTAAGAAGGAGGAAATGCAATCTGGTCTGGGCTGGAAATCCTAGCTCTCTGACAACCTGGCTAATTGCTACTGGGCACAGAGACAAAGAATAGATAAGACTTTAAAGCCACAGAGAAAAGAAATCTCAAAAGGACTGAACAGTGTAGTTTAGTAAAAGGGCAGCTGGGACCTGAACCTACCTCCATTTGTTTGCTGAACAGCTATGAGGTGCTGCATCCCAGGGGGTCAGGGCATTGACTGTCCTAGGTCTGGGGAGACACAGCAGAGAGCTCACTCACAGAATGGCAGGTGGCACAGGCATAAACTAATAAAATGTGGTGGTAGCAAGAAAGGGAAAGGCATCAAGGGCTGTGGCTGCAACCCTGGAAGGAAGGTCCCTGAGAACGACAGTAGCCCCTGGGTGGATCAGAGGGAAGCTCAGAGAGAACAGCATGTGTGAAGGCAGAGCGCCCAGTGAGCATGGTCTGTGAGATGAAACACTAGCAATCCTGCCTTGCTGAAGCCCAGAGTGAAGGAAGGGAGTGGCTGGAGATAAGGCAAGGAGGCCAGGCTGAGGCCAGTTGTAAACTCTGTATGATGTGCTAACTTTACCTTCGTGGCTCTAGCTGTTCCAAGCTTCGGATTCATTCTGATTTATTCTAATTGGGCAAGATTTCATTGTACATGAAATAGTCCTGAGGCCCGGGGAACACGATGATGGACTGATTGGGTCCACTCCTGGAGATGAGAGAGGGGTCAACACCAACGAACTGTTAGGAGAAGGTAGAGGGAATGCATTCTAGGGTAGCATCCCTAGAACAGCCCTTACAAATAGCATCATCCAATTATCATCATTCATTTCTGTAGCTCCTACCAATCGTCCGTTAGTTTATTTCCAATATTTTGTCATTATAGAGAATGCCATGATTGAGATCCTCACATGTTCATATTTGCATATACAGGATATCTGTAAGGTAAATTCCTGGAAGTGGAACTTTGTCTCAAAGGGTGTCTGTTCTGGTAACTCTGACAGACACGACCATATTGCTTCAAAAGGGCTGCACCCACTCAGCACCCACAGACAGCGTCTCTGAGAGTGCTTACTCCCATACGTCCTTGCCTGTGTACTGTCAACTTTCTCAGACCTGTAATTCCAAAGTTCAGTTTGACAACAGTGTGGCTGACGGATAGGAGGGGCAATAGAAGCAGAAGAAAGAAAAGTAATTACATAATTACAGTAGTAAAAGGGAGAGATGATAACGACCTGAACTACGGCAGCTACCATGTGCTTGAAAAATAGGGGTGGGGTCAAGACTTATGCATGTTCTCAGCACAGTGTGGCAATGGAAGATGTAATTGTTTTGCTGCAAATCTTGCATGAGAAGACTTTGTTTTGACATAAAATAAAAGAGAAAAATATTGTTATTATTAAGGCTCTTCCCGACATAAGTGTCCTTTGACAGATGACTGGATAAAGATGTGGTACACATATACAATGCAATACTACTCAGCAATAAAAAATTATGAAGTATTTCCATTTGCAACAACATGGATGGATCTTGAGAGTATCATGCTAAGTGGAACAGGTCAGATAGAAAAGGATAAGAACCATGTGATGTCACTCCTATGTGAGATATAAAACAGAAAGCAAAAACAAACAAGCTCAGAGAAACAGAGTGGTGGCTACCAGAGGGGAAGAGGGGAGGGATGATGAAGAGGGAAAGGGCGTCAAACACACGGTGATGGAAGATTAGACTTCGGGTGGTGAGCACACAATGCAGTACACAGATGATGGGTTACAGAATTGTACACCTGAAACTTATATAATATTATTGGTCAGTGTCACCACAATAAATTTAACTTTAAGAAAGCCTTTTTGCATTGCAAATCTAAAATAAACATGCTAAATATCAAAGGCCTTAACACAGAGAATTTGAGTTATACTGTACAATTTCAGATCTCTAAAACAAACCAACTCAGAAATGGAATAACACATTACCATAGCACACGTTAAGTAGCTTTCCGGTCGTGCATTTGTCAATTCTAAAGGGTGCAGAGCATAAGAGAATGTGACCATAATGACCTCACTGAAGCAGAATGAAGCACTGGACCCTAAGACTGCTGTTCAACTCATGGAAAAATCTTTCATCTCTCGGCCCTTCCCTGGATCCCACAGACTGCAGCAGCCTCAGCTCCAGCGTCGGGGTGCCTTGCACACCAGGGGCATCGCAGCAAATGCTGGCTGAAGCAGGGTGAGTAAGATCGACCTCTGACAAACTTCCCCTTCTTTCAAAATGATATTCTTGATTATGTGTAAAATCTTCTTGTGACTATAAGGTACTGTATACAATGCACTTGGCTACTGGGGCACATAAATCCCTCTGCATTGCTCACATTTCTCGGAATAGCTGAAACTATTTCTCTACTGGGTCCAATGATGGCAGAAAAAAGATTTTTTTCTTCCAAATCTCCTGACCTTGTAACTACCCACCCAATCCTGCTTTTCTCATTATCCACACCAACCATTTCGAGATCCTTTTTTCTTATAAAACTCTTGAAGGAAAAAAAAAGAAAGGAGAACATTTTTGAAATAGTTTCAAAGGGAAAAAAAAACCCAAACACATTTCTAAGAGGTTTAATGTGCGAATGGGTTGGAGGGGCGGATAAACAGGTGGGGTGTGGTGGCTGCTTGGTTGGTCCCGGGTAAACCAGTGCGGGTCACCTGATGCCGTATCTGGCGGAAGTCCCTGGAGGAGAAAGCAAGAGGTCTGTAGGCCTGAACATCAGAGCAGGAGAAGGTGACCGGGCATGCTGGAGCCATGTGAGCCCAGAAGAGCCTCCCAGAGCCAGAGATTACTGGCTCCTAGTCGTTCAGTGCCCCTGACTGGACCCTGGACTGAAGGCGCGCTGAAGGGGCTGGCCAGTCTGGGTGTGAGGGCTCGGGGAACTCTCTGGACCCCGCGCATTTCGGCACCCTGGCCAAGAGCCATGTGCCTGAGCCCAGCCCAGTGCAGCCACCTGCTCCCGCTCCACTGGAACTTTAGCACAGGGGCTGGGCAGAGGCTGCACACTTGCAGTGGGTGCCTCATGTATTTCTCCAGCCTGCAAAAACCTTCCTGAGTGTCTATGAGTGTCTCCTTCGGCTTCCCTTACTTCCCAGTATGTATGTATAATGGGTGCTTCTTGGCCAGGGTGCCAAAGAGCCCAGAGTCCAGAGAGTTCCCTGAGCACCCAAACCCTGCCTAGCCAGCCCCTTCAGTGTGGCCTTCAGGGCTGGGTCCAGTCCAGAGCACTGGGTGATTGGGAGGCAGTGATCTGTGGCCAGAAGGGGTATCTCACGGCAGCAAAAGTTTTCCCTCAAGACCCCACCACAGACAGGTTTAAAGCCAGCTCCAGAATACTGTATCCCTGGCTCGACCCCGAGTCCCACTTCCTGCTTCTGCCCTGCCACTCCTCAAGGCCAGGGGAAGACATTGGTCCTCCATGACACCTCCCTTGCCTGCCACCCCCTAGGGGCTCTTGCTCCTCCTTCAGTCACTGCTGTCTGGGATTGTTGCTGCAGCAGTGGCTTCCTCAGCAAGAGCTCCAGCCCTTCAGTACCCAGGGTCCTTTGGTCTCTCCTCAGCAGGAAGCGTGGTGCCAGCACACAGGAGATACTCAGGCCACTGGATGAAGGTGGACCATGCTGCTCTACCCTCCCCTAAAAACCATGGCCCAATTCCTGAAGGAACCCACTGTTCCTTCTAGCTGAGCACGGGTAGCTGAGTCTGAGGACAACAAAATCATGTATTTGCTTCTGCTCGGGTCACCTTGCTGTCCCTACCAGGGTCAAGCTCTGAATGTGCCTGGGCTCCTGCTCCCTTAGTACTTCCCCCTGCTTCCTTTCGCCCTCCGCCTTGTGCCCGCCCACAACCCCGTCACCAGCCTCACCGAGGCCTCCGAGCCCCAAGACCTCCGGAGCTTGCCCCTCGTTCTGAAAGAGCTGCACGAATCCTGTTTTCTGAGTGGAGCTCTCATTAGACAACCAAACCTCTCTCTTGCTAGTATTATAACCTTTCACTGAATATTTTGGTGTTTTATTGGGCTTAAAAAAAACACCTCATCAAGGCTAAGGGTATGGGGGAGTAAAGTAAGGGAAGAGACAGGCAGTTCTGTCACAAACAAATTTCTTCCTCTCAGACATGACAGAAGGGGCCTGGAAGGCTTGGAAGAAGTAGTGGCCTTCCCTAAAAGGCCCCAGGTGCTCCCAGGAGGTGCTGGCCCATAGGCAGGCGCCTCTGAAGGGCCTGGTGTCCCATGGCTGGCGCGGAGCCCATGCAGGGCTCTGCCTTGGCACTGAAGTAGGAGGCAATTTGTAGGCAGCCACTCGGGCTCCATTAGGCCCACTGAGTACCTTGCCTAACCCATATGGTTTCCCTTTCCTTACAAAGCTGTTTCCTCAGCGGGTCCAGTGAGGAAACCCCTGAATAAACACAGAGTGTGCTGCTGGCCCCGAGGCTTCTCTGAGGTGTGCCCCAGGGACGCAGCCCCCGGCTAGGCCCACTTCCAGTCTGCTCGCCAGCCTCGCAGACAGTCACAGCCGCTGTTTCCACGAAGCAGTTTCTTTCCACAACATTCACTTCAGCTTCTGAAGGAGAAGCTTATGTCTCCAGACAGCAAGGCAGAGGAAGTCTCTGAGGCAGATGTCCACTGAAGGCCCGGCAGCCCTCTGCCCCCCCTGCCAGAGGGCCCTCCCCAGCAGCAGAACAATGGCTGCAGTCATGCCGGGGAACTCCACGGCTGGCTTCCAGGTTGGCTCACTTTCAGCGTCTGTGTGGTTCGGGGCCCCATCTTGTGTACGTGCGTGGGGGTGTATATGCAAGGAGTAGCTGATGTGTGAGGCCACAGAGACATGGATATGGCTATTATCCCCATTTTGGAGGTGGGGACCTACACCTCAGAGGTCAGCATCTAAGAATGGACAGGATCAGAAGTCTAGCCCAGGACTGTCTGACTTGGAATCCTCTATCTTAACCATCATTCTCTCTGTGGTGGGATATTTGGGTATGTAGGACTAGGGCCACACAGCAAGTGTGCCATATGGACAAGGCACTCACAGTTCGGTCAAACTAATGGACTGGCTCAGGAACTAGGTGGGCCATACCTCAGGAGGGGGACTGGGGAAAGCAGGGTTTGGCAGGAGCAGAAGACCTGTTCTTTGCCAGCATTACTGCTGCAGTTTTTAGCCCCGAAACCTAAGCAACTAGACAATCTCCACCACTGACTGTTATAATCTTAGGCAATTCACCTAATCTCTGTGTATCTCAATTTTCTCATCTTTAAAACAAAAATAACAAGATCTACCTCAGATGGAGGTTGTGAGAATTGAGTTAATATGCGTAAAGCACCCCGAACTGTGCCTGGCATGTCATAAGCCCCATACATTGCTGATGGCATCATCACCATCCTCATCTTCAGCATCACCGTCCCCATGGCCTGGCCCCTCCTTGCTCCGTGAGTAGAAGCAAGCACTCCTGCCCGCTGCTCCCCAGCCTCTCCTGATGCCGTTGTTGCAGCCCTTACCTCTCTGTGCCAGTGCTCCGACCCTGAGCAGGAGCTGTGACTTCAGTGCCTTACGCAGCGCCTGCCACATAATAGGTGTGCAATAATCATGTGCTGAATGAAGAAAAATTCTGCTAAATTCTAAAAATAAGGCTTTCAGATAAATTGCAAGGAGTATTTGATTTTATAAGATTTTAAAATATGCCCCACCCCCCCAGCTCATGCCACAGAGGTTGGAACATAGTAACAGGGACAAGAAAATTGAAAGGGCTTTAAATTTTTACATGTTAGACACATGCAAGTGACTTGCAGTGTGACAAATACTGTATCGAATAATAGTAACAAACCCCACCAGAGGCACTGAGTGTCTCTGAGGCCTGAGGCTCCTGCTTCAGCATTTGAAGATGCAGAAATAGGCAAATCCAAAAAAGTATTCCCATGAATCTTCCTCTCAATAAAATTTTTCCCAAGGAACCACCAATGTTCAGAATGTTTTAAAATGAACTTTCAAAGATAGTCTCCAAAAACATGTTCACAAAACACCGACTGAGCCCCGTGTGCCGGACACCGGCCTGCCGATCTGGGTTAAGACACGGTGTCGGGGGGGGACAGACACACGAACAGGCAGTCCACAGGTGGCGAGTCAGACACGGAGGCATGCCCAGTGTGTTCACAAAGAGCCGAGGAGGAGCCCAGTTTGAGGATTCTTAAATAGCAGTAGAGACTGACCTAGGACAGTGGATGCATACTGAGCTACTTTCCTGGGCAGCTACGGTTCAGAAACACCAGGGCTGCTGGTAAGCACAATGCTGTACATTCTCAGAAGGTACAACCCCCACTCCTGTAACCCAGACTAAAGAGGCCAGCGAGAGGGTGCCCTTTGCCCGGGGAAGGCTGCACTCCCCCACTCTACCCACCCCGCCACACCCCGCCACAGGCAGAGTCATCTTTGCTCAAACAAAACCCGAGCTGTCCCTGACTGCCACAGCCTCCCACAGCCTGCAGGCCCTCCCCTTGAGTCTACAAATAATAGCTGAATGTCATCCTCCTCACCTTGAAAACACTGCTGACCCGTTGGTGCGCCAAGGAGGAGCGTGATCCTGTCATGGCTGATGACATCCTTCCTTCACCTGTGTACCCTCTGGTCATTGCGGGTGTGCTTCTGGTTGTCAAGAGACGGTTACTTTTTGTGCTTGGATAATTATTTTTAAGTAAATGAGGTGCTGTGAAAAGAGAAACAACAGTGCCTGTTCGTGAGTGATAACCTTTCGCTCACCTCGTGCTGCGGCTAGATACTCGGGACTGGAAAGAAGCGTGAGAGTACAAACAAGGGAGCCTGAGATTTGGGACCACAGAATCTCACCGCTCAGGCCCCTCCCTGTCAGTGTGTCTGCTGGGACATGGTGTCCTCAAAGGGCTGGCTGCCCACCCCTGTGCAGGTGGGACTCAGGAGGTAGGCCCTGCAATGAAGTGTCTTACTGGGAATTAATAGCAGTTGTGCCCTGTAACCTTGCCCAGCCCGATTACCCTCGAGTAACCTTCCCTTCCCCTTAGAGGCCTGAGAGCCAGGGAAGGCTACTCTCTCAGGCCTCTAGGCACCTGACAATGCAGGTCCCAGGAAAGAACAGGAGGAAGAGGCTGGGTTAGGATGGGGAGGAGGAGGAGGAGCAGGAGGAGGAGCTGGAGGAGGGGGGTGGGAAGAGGAGGAGGAGGGGGAAAAGAGGAGGGGGAAGGAAGTTTGGCAATTCCTAAGCTGCCACTGGGCCAAGGACACTGGATGTGGAGAGTAAGAAGTTGCTTTCGTAAACTGAGAAGTTCTCCCAAAGAAATTTCACACCACGGAGGTGCTCGCTAAAGTGAGGAAGGCTGTGGAGGGAAGCACCGGGAGGCAGAGGCTGATAAAATAGAGCCCTGTGGAAGAGTCACCAAATTTGTAAAATGGAAACAGTGAGAACTAAAAAAATAGAATTGTTTACTCTTTGGAACGTTTGGCCAGCTCAGGTATTGGGTGATCTTTGAAAATCATGGAATTTTAAAACAACAACAGCATATTTGATTTCTCTCTCATTGTAACCTGTTTACAGCAAAAAGTTGCAAAAGTGCAGAAAAGTATACAGAGATAATCAAAATCACTAGCAAGCTGGCCACCCAGGAACTGCCAGTTAACATTTGGTGTATCACCTCCTCGGCCATTTGAGCTACATCAACCCATTGCCTCAGGGTTTTGTACAAAAGCCACACAGCATTGTCAGATGTTTTATTCACTCATCCCACAAATATTTACTGATGGCCCGCACTGTGATAGGGACACAGCAATGAGCAAAACAGACAAGTCCCCTGTCCTCATGGGGGACAGAAAATAAATACACATGAAAATATGTCATGTGCCAGGTAGCAGTAAGTGCTATAGAGAAAAACAAGGCAGGGTAGGGGCTAGGAAGGGTGGGATGGCCATGAGCGTGGTAAATAGCAGCTACTACTTGTACAGGGAGTAACTGGGGGTGGTCTGCTGCTACCATGAGGTGAGGTCAGAAACTGATCCAAGTGGAAGTGCAGTCATGCAGATAACCTGGGGCAATGTTTCAGGCAGAGGGAAGAACAAGGTCAAAGTCTGGGGACACAAGTCCTGGACGTGCTGGAAGAACATGTTGGAGGAATATTTGGGACTCCGGGGTGGATGGGGTGCAGTGAGGGGCACAGTGGAGCGGATGGGTCAGAAGGGGGTGGAGAGGCACCATCAGGCCATGGAAGGCACAGAGGCCACTATGGATCCTGTGTTCGCTCACTTACTATTACATTGGGCGCATTTCCCTACTCTGTTACACTTTCTTCCAAAACAGAACTTTGTAATCGAGGCATACAATTCTACCATGTAGACAAACTGTAACATATTCAAACAGTATCTTTTATTTTGATTGTTTTTCTGTCATTAATGGTATGATACTTAACACAAATCTTTGGGAGCTCTCTGGTTATGTACATACAATAAATGCCTAGAAGTGTAATTGTTTAGTCAAAGAATATAAATAGTAAAAGGTTTTTTATATACATTGTCAAATTTGCCCAGAAAGGTTTGATAAATTATAACTCTGAATGTGTAGGAATTTCCACTTCGTGGCTGGATATAACAACGTTTTAGAACCTTTGGCAACTGGATAGCTGACGCCCTATACTACTACGTTGTTGTTTCATTATTTGCTTGATCACGACTGAAGTTGGAGTTTTTCATATATCTATTGAGTACCGCAGATTGTCTGCTCAGGCTCTTCGTCCACTTTTTATGGAGGAGTTTTTCTTATTGATGTGAATAGCTCTTTATATATAAAAGCTCTTATTTGCTATTTTTTCCCTCAGTTGTGAATTACCTTCTATGTTTGCTTATTATTACCATTATTATTTCTCTCCTAGGACATTTTTCCTTGCTTTTAGAGAGACAGGAAGGGAGAAAGAGAAACATCGGTCAATTGCCGCCCGCATGCACCCAGACAGAGGTGGTACTCGCTGGGACCAGGGATAGCATGCACCGGACTGGGGGACGAGTCTGCCACCGAGGGGCACGCCCCAACTGGGAAGGAACCCACAACCTTTCAGCTGTGGGACTATGTGCCAACCACCGAGCCACACTGGCCAAGGCTGTGTGTTTATGATTTTTTACTTAAATTTTTAAATTTTTAGGTCATCAAATCTATCGATATTTATTTTTTATATCATCCTTTGTTTTCTTACTGCAAGATCAGATAAATACCTACTCTAGTTCTTTTATTTTAAAAATGGTTCCCTTAGAATTAGAAGCATAATTGGTAGGCATATAATAGATAGGGAGAGGTAAAAAATGGTATAGGAAACAGAGAAGTCAAAGAACTTATATGCACAACCCATGGACGTGAACTAAGGGGGGAGTGCTGGAGGGTTCGGGGGTGCAGGGCAGAGTGGGACTAAGGGGGGAAATTGGGAAAACTGTAATAGTGTAATCATAAAATATACTTTTAAAAATGGTTCCCTTAAAAAAATTAATTCTATTGTTTTGGGATAAATAGAAAACTGATATTTTTCTACTTAGCCAACCAATTAATATCCTATGATCACTAAATGAGCAGTGTAACCATTTTTTACTAATATAAAGCATATAACTACAATGTATAAAGTCATCTATATGTGTCTATGTATGCAATTACCAGAATTTTCTATCTTACATCCATTAATTTGTAAGTCTATTCTTGAAACAGTACAAACTGATTTACATACTGTAGCATTTTAACAATTTTGATGGTTTGTAAGGTAAGCTGTCCTCCAAATTCTTAGTTTCCTATATTTTCTTGTTTACTTTTTGCTTCCATTTAGTCTTCCTGTAACTTCCAATCACTGTTGCCACAATCTGTAAACAATCTCACCGTAATTTTTAGTAGAATAACTGAATGCTTACAAACTGATCTGCAGAGGCTGCACCTTCACAACTGGGTTTTTCATCCTGTCACGTCTCTAAGTTTAGTCAGCTCTCCTGTGTGTCTCAAAAATACTACCGTTTTTCATATGTGGATCCTGTACATTTCTTTTAAAATGCTTATCCCAAGATACTTTACTTTTTATTGATGTTGTAAATTGGGGGGGGGGGGGGGCTTGTAGATTCTTTTTTAAAAGTGCAACCGAATAACCTGGCAGCAGAAGAAATGAGTTTGCGACGCACGCCCAGAAGAACACGCCCCACCCCCACCGCTGACGCAGCCGAGCGCGCAGCCCCGAAGGATCACTGCCTCTCCCTGGGACACCCTCGGACGGGGGTTCTGAGTGGAGTATGTATCAGTAAAACTAAAAGACTAGGTTGCTATAACCAAAGGCCTAACAATACAGGGGAGTAGAGAGAAGAGAACAAAGAGGTGGTTTCTCTCTCGCTTGACAGCCAGAGACGAGCATTCCAGCTGGGTGGGCGGCTCTGTGAGGTCTGTGAAGTCCATCACGGGCCCCTGTTCCCTGCAGGCTATTGCTCTGCCACTCCAGGGCATTGCTGTCCACACGGTCAAAGCCGGCCTGCCTGTACAGCAATGTTGTCAGCAGTCCAACGAGACGAGTGGCGGAGGGGCACCCACAGGCTTCAGGCCCAGCCCTGGGGCTGACCCACATGCTTTGACTCCACTGGAAAGAACTTGACCGCACTGCCGCACCTGCGCGCAGTGGAGTGGGCACATAGTCGGCTTGCGTACCCGGGAGGAAGGAAGAAGGGAAGGACCGACTGGTGGACCACTGCCAACAATCTCTTCCCAGGGGATCTCCCCAGATTCTCCTCTCCAGCATAAAGTGTCCAGTGGCCTAGCAAAAGCCATCTGCCTAGTCTCATGAGTGGGGGACAGAGAAACGTCAGACATTTCCTATGGTTGACGGCCCCTCCAGAATGCAATGATTGGGAAAACGTCAGTTTTCCAAAGAAAGGGGGGCTGGGCTGGCAAAATAAGAGATGTCCGTTCATTGTCTAGCCTTATATGCCTGTCATAAGACTTTAAGTTTCTTTAAATCCCTTTAAATGGACAGTTCTTGGTCACTTTCTCTTTCTTAAATTTAGAAGTAAGCAAGCACCCTCTCTGATGCCCTGCTCCTCAGAGGCCTAGAGGGAGCAGGCAGCAACCTCAGGCACACGACATCCTGCAGGTCCCGGGTTCTGAGCTCCACAGCCGCAGCTGTCATCAGGGGAGAACCCAGCAAACTGTTTCCAGGAGTGCTGTCTGTACCAATCATTTAAGGCTTGGAAGAAGTACAACTGCTTGGCCCTGCAGAAGAAGTGTCTCTGAAGTGACCATTTGTATCCCCCTTTATTGTCTTTCAGGCGTCTCTGTATGGAGCACCCACAAGGTAACGTGGGGTGATGCAGTTCTGGCTGTAGCTCAGCAACAGCTGTCTGTGCTTCCAAGTCAACTACAATTAACCCACTGCCAAAGGAACTGCAAAGAAATCACGGCAAACCTATCACTGGGTCACAGAGTGCGGACTGCTCTTTTCTCTTCCGTTGCCCCAGATGCTGTTTCCAGAGCTTTGGCAGACTGACTTCTCTCCCTCCCACCCCTCCTACCTCCTCTTCCCTTTGAGGTCCACGGTTTGTAATGTCTTTTTCAGGTTCTCTCCTCCCCATTGCATCTGACTGTTGGCTCCATTTCACCTCAGTCACAAACAGAACTTGGGTACATAGAGGTGACAAGGAACCAGCTTTCTGGAGACACATGGGAGAGCAGAAATGGGAGGCTCCTTAGGAAGCCAAGCACAGGCTTGAATCCACCCAGGAAGCCACCTCTTGTTCTTTAGCCAGACATGGCCCCCGGGGAACTGTGCACATGGCGAAGACAGAGGACCACACCGAGCTGGAGACCCACCTGGAAGCTCCCCTGGGGACGTTGAGCACAGGCGTACCCCAGTGCGGATCCTGCCTGGATGCCCCTGTTGGGCGACCCCCATCTCCTCCTCTGAGTCCTGGCGGGGAGTTTTCTTTACTCTCAGTTCTTGAAGTGGTAATGATTTTCCTGTTATCTCTGAAATTTGCAGCACTGACATGGGG